TGCTTTCAACCTATCCCCCCCTCAAAAAAAGCATGCAGGGATATTTTCCAATGCTTGATTATGGCAAGAAGGAAGAAAAGTGATGGTTCTTGGTGTAATACAAGCAATTTGTAGAATCGAGCATACAATTTTGCATAAAACATTGCAGGTTAAAATAACATTGTAGGTTTCAAGCCATTGCATTACAGTTGAATAATTGTCACAATTAGGTTTTGTAAAATTTAAAACTCTAGATTTTGAAGTGAAACAATAAAACTAAATTCTTAAGTGATGACTTTGACCTTCATTCGGCACAGAATAGCTATTTTTTATTTGGGATGAAAAGATTATTTACAACTAACATTGACTGAGTCTTGGAAAAGTCCAATAACACAGGAAGAGAAATATCCCCTCGCTATCTGAATGAACAATGAACATGTTTGAGGTTAGAGATATTTCTAACACTGGCTGCTACTCTCCTACTGTGGCCAAGCATAAACAACTGTTCTTTAACCTACGTCAGAATGGAAAGCACCAAATGACAATTTGGATCTATAAAACGGGATTTGCTATTTCACCCTCCATAACGAATGATTAACGATTTAGATGCAGAGACACAGCTAATGAAGGAGGTGTTGATTGGTGCCATTCAGTAGCTCACTTGAGCTGCCTTTTAAAATCAGGGTATTGTTTGCATCGAATCCAAGAACTCTTCCTAAAATAGAGAAATACATATATCAAAGGAATTCAGGAAAAGCAGGTTAAAAATAAATAATCTTACAACAACATTTTAAATCTTTTTTAATGATTTAAAGCAAGGAAGACATATATAACACTGAATGCTAAACAAGTCTTTGAATGTCTCTTGGATTTTAGATATATATTTAATAGTATATGTATATATATTTATATATATATATATATATTTTACATTTTGCGTGTAGGCCAGAGCTGTCTAAAATATCTCTTCATAATAGGCTATAGGGATGTGTCAGGAGATAGAATAAAATAAGATCTGAGAATGTTCTCGGTTCATTCGAGTCTGTGTGACAATCGGCAGGGATCATAAATTTGAAGAAAACCGTGGTTTTTCCACCTCTGGGTCTGTTTTTAAGACGGCGGAAGGCTCTTTCGGAAGGGGGGCCGCCGGCGGAGGGGGTGCCGGAGGGACTCCTCGGGTGGGGGGGATGGCTCCCGACGACATCTG